ATTTAAGCAAATTAATTCAAAAAATATTTAATGACATTGCATATTTATTAAGTAATTATCATATATACATACAATACAAGGGAAGGATATACTTATCACCAAAAAAGTTTACTACCTTTACAACTAATCTAATTACCGTTGATTTTCGTTAATCTAACAATTATAATGTATTGAAAATTATTAGATATTATTTATTAATTAATTATTAATTTCCAATAAATTATAATCATTAGATTGACAGAAATCAACGGTGATTAAATTGGTTGTAAATGCGATAAAAAAAATTTGTGGTAAGTATATCTTTCCCCATATATATATATGATAAACTACTCTTATGCTACATGTGACAAATTTTTCTCCTACACACCCTTCGATAACTATGCCACCTTTTTATTTTCTTTTCTTTTTATTTTTCAGGTGGTGGAGCCCACAAATTTATCTCTATAACATGAGATAACTTATCTCCTATAACATGAGATTAATAAAACCTTATATATATATGGGAAAAATGTTACTGCAAATAAGTTATCTGCATTTATTCCCAAAACGACATCGTTTTGGTATTGAAATCTTAAAAATTTATAAATATAAAGACTATTATAACTCTGAAATAAATTAAAATTACAAAAACACCATGATTTTTGTCCCAAAGTGACGTCGTATTGGGCTTACTGCAGAAAAAGCGAACTATATATATATATATATATATATATATATATATATATATATATATATATATAGGGGAAAACATTTCTCAAGCAGCTTGAGATAAGTCTATCTCCTGCTACTTCAAAACTACGTCATTTTATTTATTTATTTTCTTATATTAATTGATTCACCTTTGAATGGTTATGATTCCCTTTTTCTCTCTCTTCCTCTATCACCATTGATCCATCTTTGTACGGTACGGTTATGATTTAGTAGCCGGTGATAAGATTATCTCAAGCAGCTTGAGAAACGATAAGCCCATGTATATATGAGATTTATTAATCTCATGCAACAGGAGAGAAGCTCTCTCTTGTTATAGAGACAATCATGTGTAGATCCCACCCATTTATAGAAAAAGAAAAAGAAATAAAAAAGTAATACGGAAATCGATGTATGTGTAGGAGAGAAAAACGCTCTCCTATATATAATAGGGATAGGTTATTTTACATACTCCTATTTTGCCTACCCTTGCCTACCTCTTTCAATACTGTTAGATTACAATCTCATTCGACGATAGACATTTGCGAAATAAAATAAACTTTTTTTCTCATTCTTTCTCCTCACCTCCACTCGCACCCTTTCTCTCTTCTCCTGGCGACGAAGATCGAAAATTCCAGTAACGCAAAAATCAATTCCTTCAAAAAATCGAAAATTCAGGTAACACAAAAAACAATTCCTTCAAAAAGAAAAACACATATTCAATAGAAAAAAGAACGAAAAACAGAAGTGAATTGGTCCGAACATGTGAAAGGATGAAGAGAGCGACAATGTCTCGACAATGTCTGATGTTGAATCATGCAGGGATTTGAATTGGTCCGAACACTTGGAGCTTTGGCCCTATCTTCTGCATTTCGAAGACTTTCAGATCACTTAATTACTAATTCTCATCATTTCTTTCCTAGTTGTTTTTGTTTTCTTTTTTCCTTAATTTCCTATTTGTTATCCAAAAATAAAATAAAAAATATACAGGCAAAGGTATAAGCATCCTAGCACTCCATCGTCTTACCGGAAGCGACGACTTTCTATGAACCCTAAGGAATAAGCACGTTTGATGGTCGTCGATGGTGTTCTATTTTTCGTTCTTTTTTTTATTGAATATGTGTTTTTCTTTTTGGAGGAATTGGTTTTTGCGTTATCGAAATTTTCGATCTTCATCGCCAGGAAGAGAGAAAGGGTTCTGTAGGAGTTGAGGAAAAAGAATGAGAAAAAATGGATTATTTTATTTCGCAAATGTTTATCGTCGGATGAGATTGTAATCTAACGGTACTGAAAGGGTAGACAATTGTAGGCAAAACAGGAGTAGGTAAAATAACCTATCCCATATATATATATATATATATATATATATATATATATATATATGGGGCAGGTTCATCTTACACCGGTGTAAGACTAATAAATGGGGCAGGATATTCTTACACCGGTGTAAGAGTTAGAAGTCTTACACTCAATCTTAATCATTGATCCACTTGTATCCAATGGCTCATGTTACTAAAAAATTAGAGCCCTTAGATATAAGTGAGATCAACGAACGAGATTAAGAGTGTAACTTACACTGGTGTAAAATGATCCTGACCCATATATAATACATTAACCAAAGTTTTATGATATTAGTACAAAATGATTTAATTAGTTTTATTTAAAATTTAACAAAGATTATCAAAATATAATTAAGAATTAAAACTATTAAAACAGTGTCAATGGATGATCATTACCTAGGTTCATGTCCACATCTATATCTATGAACAAGAACTCACACGCTAGCATCCGATGATGTTTGACTCTCCAGAACTACCCATTTCTCAGCGACCCAGAAAAAATCAATCCCAACCCGCCATTGCAGAGAACTACCGAAGAAGACCGAGGAAAACGAAAGGAAAACGGAGAGAGAGAGAGAGATGAGGGTATTTTAGACCTGAAAAATTGATAAATTTTTCCACCACTTCAGGAATTCAGTCTTGCATGGCATTTTGGCATATAAATTGTACACAAAACAAAATTATGAAAAAATTTAGATTTTCAAAAAAAAAAATTAAAAATTTAATATCAAATATGAATAAATAGAATTACCATCTTTAATTTTTCGGGAAAAAAAAAAACCCCTTACCAAGTGTGACAGATTAATGGATTCGTTATGCGCACAAAGCAAAAATCACCATATTTTTTCATACATGATCATTTTTTTCTTGTTTTGCTTAGACTGCATCACTTTCACTCAAACTAACTACCCTTGAATTAAAATTATAAAACAAAAATTATATACTTTTTACAAAACACTACCATCATATGATACAATAACGACATATACCCAAACATAAATTTTCAAGTGTAAATATAACGTTACTAATAGGGATATAAATGGGCTGAGTGGCTTCTAATGAGCTAAGGTTTGGCTTGTTTTAATCTTGGCTTGCTCTGACTTGTTTAATAAATAGAATGAGTTTAAGCTTAAAAAAAACAAGCTTTTTTAGCAAACAATCTCAAGCCTAATTTAATGAGGCTTGACTTGAAAACTCGTGAGCTGGCATGATATATTATTATAAACAAGCTCCCACGGTCACAGTTTCACAAATAAGCTCTCTGACTATTGGTCTCTCCTTTCCTTCCTCGATTACTCACATTTTCACAGCTTTATTCCAATTTTCTACTTAGCGCAACTCTGGTAACCTTCTACAAGCAACTAACCAACCCAAATACTTTTTCTCAATTCCTCTTTCTTAGATATCAGATTATCAATAGATGCCCAACAAACTACTTGCATTCATTGCCTTACAGAATTTTATGCATTTGTAGTCTCAACATTTGTATATATGTGAGTTTGAAAAAAATACATTTTACAATTATAAATGAGCCAAGCCAAGTCTTTAATTTTTCATAAACAAGCAAGTCAAGCCTAGAATTTACCTCATACCAGGCTAACGACCAAGCTAAGCTCAAAATATTTTTCATAGACTTGACTCTTTTAAGCTAAAGCTTGGCTCGACCTAGCTCGTTTACACCTTTTACCTACTAACAACGTAATCAGCACAAGGAAAAGTAATTTATATCTTCTTCTTTTTTGTGTGTGGATAAATCACATGTATCCTCTGCAGGAGATAATACTGTTCAGGACGGGTCAAGAATTAAGACTTTAAATCTCTCCTAAAGATGGTACTGGAAAGAATTGAACGCATGCTCTCACTTTCACCGCTCAGCACTCATGCGCCAACTGAACTACCATCATTTGATAAGTAATTTCTGTCTTAATTTTCAATAAAAATAGAAAAGCTTGAAAATCTGTTCAATTAGATTATAATAAAATAAAATTCTTAGCAAACATTTACAAAAAGTAAATTTAATTTGACTAGCATTAATGACAGTACAAATTATTGATTATTATATTAAAAACTATGTATTATTAAATATATAGTTTATCAAATTATTGTACACTATATATTATTAAATATTGATTATCAAATATAAAATTATGTATAATAAAAATTGAAAAATTCATTCATTTTAGTTTATCATCAGAATTTTATGATATCATTATAAAATATTTCATGCATGACCAGTATTTGTAATTTTAAAACAACTTTATTTGAAACTTAAACGAAAATGTTAAAATGTAATTAAAATTAAATTAAAATGAAAGAAACAATAATATAAAAAAAGATAAAGAATAAAAGTTATATATGTTTATATAACATAACATGATAAAATAACCAAATACAACTAAGTATAAATTTTCAACCGCACAATTAAAAGTCATTTCTATTAACAAAAATCGAAAAAGCTTGAAAACTTGTTTAATTATATTTTAATAAAAAATTATAAAATTTTATTAAATACATATTACGAATTGATGTTTTCATTTCATCATTTTCTTCTCGATTTTTTATTTATAAAAAAGATGAAAATATGATTACATCTATGATCTAACTTTCCTTTGTAATTATGAGAAGAACTATATCAAGTTATCAGCTAAATGTTTTATAAAATTTACAAAACTGAAAATAAAACTTAATATCATTAAATAAAAATATAAAACAAACCAACCTAATGTTCTCCCTCTCTCTAACAATTTCTAGACACATCAACAATTTAATCTTCAAGATTAATTAGGAATAGATAATTCAAAACCAAAATAATACATTACTGAGTGTTAATGTTACCCCATTGACCCCACCCAAATCTTATGACACAAGACAACAGATTATAGATATGTATACAATGCAATGTTCCTAGGTACATTAATAACATTAACAGAAGAATGTTATTCAGGAGACATGAAAATGCAAGATGTTACACTGTTACTTCTTCATAGTTCATACCATAATAAAATGCTGTGGCAGCTTAAAAAAAGTTCACAAACTTGTTATTAACCACACATACATGCATATACTCCTAGACAAATTCATCAACCTTTCCAAATAGTGTAACTAAAAATAAAATTAACCCTCTAACCCATGCACACGGATTCAGAGTCCTCAACATCATATTCCATAGACATACTGGTTACATCTTCTCTATTAATCAAGCTAATGCTTGAAGCTGATGAACCAAAGGTTTCTGGCACACCAATACGTGAGAGGATATTTTTTCTCCTGTTTCTGATTCTTCTCCATCTCCTCAACAACTCAGAAGGCTCACTTACATTTCCTAATTCCCTGATTTGTAATGCAATAGGTTCTTCTTCCCTTGTGAGTTCAGTTACCCTATGATCACTTGAATTATACTCTGGTGTCATCAAAAAGATGAGTGGCTTATAACAACATAAGAGAAACATAAGTAGCATAATGTAGACATACAAAGACATCCAAACATAAAAGGTCCATTTCCACTTGCGAATTAACTCTTTAGCCCAAGGTAGATGGGAATTTATCACAATTTCAGCTTCATAAATCTGTGGCAAAGATGTAGTTCCTGCTCTAGGATGCAGGGTTATTATAAGAGCATTGGTTCTTCGATTGTGTTCCTTGTGCCTCATTATTGGTACATTAATTTTCTGAGTCTCACTTGAGATTCCAAGTACCAGAGGCACACCCATCATAACTGTTCGGGCTAGTCGAACTGGGGAGCTTCTAAACCGCAATATGCATGGTTGGCTAGACCTTGCTATCACATTTCCATGAAGTGATTGGAGTTCTGCACTCAACTGCAAATTGACTCAAATTAACTCTTAAATAAACAGATCTTGGAGCAAGTAAACATGTTCATTGTAATCACTATTCTCCTTGATGACACAATTTGAAACAAAATTCAAAGTACTTATTCATATATCTCCCATACCATGGAATGCAACCAATTCAACCTTACAAGTGTTTTTTCTAAAAGTTAAAAGTAAAAACACAAATCAAAAACCAACATGTTCTCTAAATTTGATTCTAAAAATTAAAAAGAAGTTATAATTTTTAGAACAATTTTTATGAAAGAGGCCTTATCAAACAAGTTTTTTTTTTTTTCCTTCTGAAAATCAAAAAATTGTTTTTGAAAACAAAATTCAAACAGCCCTAAGTTTCTAATTCAGTAAATTTTTCAAAGATAAAAGCATACCTGAAACATGCCAAGTTCCCTATTGAAGTCAGATTCAGGCATCACCAGTACCAAAGAAACGCAAAATGTGTGGCCAACTGGAACACTTCTATGATTTTGCTTGGTGTAGCCGTAAACACCACTAACTCCACCATTAAAGAAAAATACAGCTGTTGGGTGAGCTTCAGTGTAATCAAAATGAATACTTTCCTTAACAAACACAGGTTCCTCCACCCACAACTGAACCAAATTAACACCCACCACAGCAGCCAGAATAAGTAGTGAAATCAGAATCATGCACACATACGCAGCACTTAGAAAGAAAAGTCCAAGTTTCTTTAGCAAGAGTATGCTAACACTTATAATATGGGAAGGAACACTTTGTACTGCAGATTCAACGTTGTCATGGGTCTCCTCAGCAACTTGGTAGGACTCAAACACCATAGAAAAAAGAGATTGGATAGGGGAAAACACAGAAACCAAGCTGTTGTAGATCAAATTTGCTTGGAGGGATATTAGTTTTGATACAGAATTGGATGGTGTTGGCAAAATAAAGTAATCTTGTTGGTCTTCCTCCATGGAGATAAAGTTGAATGCAGTTTCATAGATAGATAAGGTAAGGACCTGGGAAGGTAAAAAGGAACAGAGAAGAGACACAAGACATATGCAGAGTACTGTTGCAGTGTGTGGCAGCACACGTGTCTTCTGCATGAGAACAAGTTGATGTCGTGGCAATCTGCATGAAAAAGAGAGACATGTTACATGCTAGTATGCTATTGCTAACCTGAAATTTTATTTTATTTTATAAAATATCTATTTTATAAATATCCTTCACGGAAGGCAATTCGGGCAGATTCAGAGGTACTGGAGTGAGATTGAATACATGCTCTCATCTCATTACTCCGTTCTTATGTATCAACTGAGCTATTATCATTTGGTCATAAAATTTTATTTTAAGTAATTATTCCGGGTCACGTTGAGTTGGCATTTCTTCTGGGCTCAAGCTCAATTGTTTGATTCAGATTTTTTATTTTGGACTTTCATGGTAAAAGTCTTTATCAAAACATGAAATTGAAGCCCATGATCAAGAGGAGGGATAAGATTATTTGCATCATGAATATAATCGTAGAATACATATGCCTGTGATTCCAAATCAAGGAATGAGTTTATAGATTCTTTATGTAGCTAGATTGCCCAGAACATGTTTATGAAAAATAACATTAAGAACCTTGCAATGTATTGCTGGTCCAAATCAGCTTTTATTGTCAAACTGGACATTAATTTGGAAATAGGGTCGAAGAGGCCTAGTAAAAAGTCAGGCTACTTGAAGGAATAAAGGGTCAATTGATACTGCTGGCCCAAGTATGCCGTAAGTCACTTTAGGATGAATTTTTACTTTTCTTTAGCTATTTTGAATTACGGAAGTTGTTAATTGTGTTGCAGTTGTATTCTCTGTGTAGAATAAAGTGTGATTCTGTTAATGAAATCATAAGAAGAAATTTTCCATAACGCTCTTCTCTCTCTGCTTTCATTCCTCGCTCTTATTCCTCCTTCCACCTTCTAGGGTAACTAATTAGGTTGCTACAGGAGTATAGCATAAGAATCAGGCACATGAACCGTTTAGGAGTGTCACAACTGCACAAACCACAATGTATGGCAACCCTGTAAAAGTGAGTATTGAGAGAGAAAAAATGGTTCAATTGACTCACTTTCATCCCTGTCACCACTATTACCTCTCCTTTTCTATGTCCAACTAGTTAGAGACAGAATCATGCTGCTGCTATTTGGAAGCAAGAGACAAGGAGAGTAATGTCATAACAAATTTAGCACACGATACTGATCTTTCCGGATTCCCGTTCTAGACCGCAACATCTTTTTACGGCAAATAAAAAATAAATGACAACATCGTTTATCAAAATATGGATACGTATATATTTTGCACTTGGATCTCTCCAAACATAGTAACAGACAGCCATTAACTCAATTTTGGGGGAAAAAAGGCAAGTTTTCGAGACAGCAATTCAAACCAGAGATAAAGTTGGCATAAAAGGAAAAACACTCCAACCTACTTTCATTATCATGGGGATAAATAACCTTACAATTTTTTGGAAGCTAGGAAACCGGGGTCAAGAACACAAGTATAGAGAGCACTAGAAGGAATTGATTCTCTCATGTTAAATCTCCCTATGACCTTGTCATGTGAACATTTTGTGCCTATCTATCTCTTTATAAGGTTTTACAAATTTTGATTGAGTCCCACCTATTTAATGTTTATGAAAAGAGAAATAGACACAAAATTTCACATGAAAAGGTCATATGAAAAACTCACTATGAGAGGATCCATTTCTCTACACTAGGACATGGTGCGAAATACAGTCCTTACATGAAGTATTCATAAATTGGAATCAAACAGACAGCTCTGTTCGAGAGATCAGAATGCCATCTGTGTCTGCATAAAGCCATTCCCCATCACAGATCCTTGTCCCAGCAATATTTATGGGAACATGCTTTTCTCCCATACCTTTCTTATTGGCTTTCATTGGATGAGAAGCTAGAGCTCTGACCCCAATATCACAACCATTGATCTCGTCCACATCTCTTATACATCCATTCACAACAATACCTGCCCATCCATTGTTTTGTGCTTGTACTACAGGGTTGCCACCCAATATTGCACAGCGTAAGCTCGCACCTCCATCAACAACAAGCACCCTTCCATTGCCTTTCTCTTCAAGGAACTCGCGAACCAAAACATTGTCCTCAAATACCTTCAAGGTAACTATAGGTCCAGAAAAAACCTGTCGACGACCATAAATTTGAAAAATTGGCTGAAGGGCTCGAAGCTCCCCACCCAAAATTAACTGTGGGTTTGCATCACATACTTCAGCAGTGGTGACCAAGGCCATTTACTTCAAGAACCTAGATAAAACAAAAAAAAAAAGACATATTTAGACTAATGCCTAACAAACCAAAAACAATCCTGGTTTAAGACAATATTTTCAGTGCTACCTATGTACACCCACTCACCTAATTGCATTTATACTTCTTCTTTTTTGTCAACTTCTTCATAAATGTAGTTAGGTGAGTGGGTGTGTTTCTATTTTAAGTGGTTACAATATGTGCTAGAGGAGCTAAGATATTTGGGAAATCTTTGCAGATGTGCAACGAGATTCAATGTATCTGCCATTTATTTATTTTGTGACACCGAGATAAAAAAAAACATCATATCATCTAACAAAAAGGAAAATTAAATAACAGCTGACCAGATGATGTGATTTTTTTTGTCTACGTGTCACAAAATAAATGACAGATACACTGAATTTCTGATACACCAGTTGCACTAAAGATTTATTCGTGGGTTGGATGCCTGTCTTAAGTGAGAAAGCATAGTTACATACATATCTAATAGCTAGCTTGCATTTGCATATGTGAACCTGCAAAAGTCTGTGGTATCTTTTAATTGATGCCCCCTTGAGAGCTCATGCCATAAAAAGTTTTTTATTTTTATTTTTTTGGTATGACAAAATATCAAAACTAAAGTTGAAAATTCATAAAAGATATTAACCGATAGCATGAGCTCTACAATAAACTGTGTCCTGTACAAGACACGTAAAATCAAGCAGTAAATAATACTAGTTAATTAGTTATAATCCTAAATCAAACAAACACAAATCCACACACATAGCAATACAGATTAGCACTGGAATCAATGCGGCAAAGTGATCAAGATCAACCAGTTGATAAAAAAAAAACACAGGGCGGCGAATCTAATTACAAGCACAACCACAGTGAATCTAAAAACAGAAAAAAGAAAATGGATCAAGTAATCAATTATTTGCATATCCATAAAAAAAAAAAGGAATCGAGAAACACGCAACCAAATCGGCGATTGAAATCGGAATCGGAAAATGAAGAGAGAGAGAGAGAGAGAGAGAGAGATACCGATGAAGAAACAGATCTGCAATATGAAAGAGGGAAAATGAGATTTAAGAATGGAAAAGGGAAAGGAGTGAGTGAGAATGGAGGGCGTTGGGCCAACAATAGACAGATATAATAGAATTGATAGTTGACAGTGGTGAGAACGCGAATAACATTATCAACACAAATCTCTCTCTCTCTCTCTCACACTTCACCGTGTACTCATCATCTTTATCATATATTTATAACTAAACTCTACTAGTATTATATTATGTATTATTATATTGTATGATTTTCATTTTTCACTTTATGCCTTACTTGTTCCTTTTGCTTTTCTTTTTCTTTTTTCTTTATACCATACCATTTTTTTTTCAATAAATTAAAGAAAACATTAAACAATTATTTTTTTTAAAAAGAAAATAAAAATATGGATGATCGCATCTCTTTTTATTTTATGTATTTCTTATTGAAACATTCTTTCTATTAACAAATTTTACTTCATATTATTAAACGAAATATTATAACCAAGTAATGAACGAGGAATTTGAAGTTTAAAGTTCAATCATTATATATGTTACAATGACAATATAAAAATTCAAACTTGTAACTAATATTTTAACATATTTTCATGTATTATTCTTGTTTTAATTAAAGAAAATAATAATAATAATAAATGATGATATATTAAAATATCACTACATATTGTTTATCAAAAATAAAATAAAATATCACTACATATTAATGCAACTATCGTATATAGCAAAATAATTAGTTAATTCTTAGAATTTTTTCTGAACATAAAAAAATTGACTCCCGCTTGAAAGGGGGTAATCTCACCCTTTTTTCGATGACAGTGGTTCAATGTATAATCTATTTCAATGAGAAGCTAGTGTTAGGACCATATTTTGAAAAAATAAGTTGTGTAGGGATATATTCACGTTATCTACCAAAAATAATAATAAATAATTACTAAATGATTATTTTTTTTAAAAAGCTTGAACATAACTAGTTCATACAATAAATACATAAGCTCAGATGCTGACGCATCGTCAATTTGTCATCTGACACAAGTCACAACGGAATATCGGAGATGCCTTACATAGGAAGCATAGAGTTTTATAGACTATAGCGAGTTAGGCATTAGTTTAGGATAAATCTAATGAAAACCTACAGGCGCGTACAAGTCAAAAAAAAAAAAAAATGTCATCAACGCAAAACAATTGATATTTTTGAAAAAGAGAATAGTAAGAAGAAATACACTCTTTTATAATGACTAGGTGCTTGACTTGGACATGAACAATAAATCGTAAAGGGAAAGAAGCTGGCTGACTAATTTTATTATTTATTTAATATGTATTTGTTTGCTACGCGGTTGATCAATTAATTATTTAATGGCACGGACGTCAACTATGGAAAGACCACTTCCACAAGTGCTTTTCTTCTATTAGGCAGAGTAGGGTTGGTGGAACTACTCACTACTCACTACTGACTACTCACTGGTCCGCTCCCTATAACTCATGCTTCGGTGTGGACGTGTGGCAAAGAGGATTTCAATCTGGATCTATAGTTCTGTACCTCTACACGTGATCATGGGATTTTACTGATCCACAATTCCGGAAATAAAGATCCCTTATCATTGTCTCTTCAAAAAATAGTAAATCCACTGTTCCAGTCACGAGAGTAATTAAGAGAGTTCCATCATTGAGCACTCGCACGCATCCCAAAATGCTAAATTTGACAATAAAATTTCTGCTGGTTATATGATACACCCGGACATTAATGTTTTGGCTATTATCAAAATAACAGACAAGATTAACATTCAACACTGCTCAATCAGGTCCAATTTTATTTGCTTAAAATATAGCTACCCCTCATTACGATGCTGCAAGCTCTCTTGATTTTATGTCAACTTGTGAATGGTTTTCATGTCAGCGACCTCCCCGAGAGTTCCTCGCTCAACATGTTCCCACCACTTGAATAAGAAATTGTCCACAACTAGTCTGAACCAAGGGGACAGCTTCAAACCTTCCTCACCCGCATCAGCTTTCCTCAACAGCTCCTTCAACTGATCACGGTTCACATATTTGACATCAGCCACTTCATCAGGATTTGGATGAAAGTTAACATCCCGGACAATAAACAACAGATAATCCACTACAATCAAGGAAAGGAAAAAGAAAAGTTGTCAATACTATCTCAAGAAAACATCCTGTTAGAATTAAGCAGCAACCATGCCAGCAGATTACGCACCTATGCGGCTAAAATAAAAATAATCCAATCCAAATAATGGCGCATATCCTGATTTAGGTTTGAATTATCTAAAGTATCGTGAATTAATCCTAGTTGGATACATACAGAACAAAATCAGCTTGATGTAATACTTGAAACCAATTAAATTGTCTTACGTTCATGCTCTCCCCATTTGCCATCAGAAGGTGCCTTGTAAAGCATGCGACCCAATGGGGTGAACTGATCTACGGGTATATCTTCAGCAGGAATACCAAGCTCATCCAAAAGCTTCCTCTGAGCTGCATTTCTTACTCCTGGTAATACAAGGAGGAAGAAAAATTAATAAAAAGCAGCAATGACAAAGTAGATTATAGTCTTTTTAACAAGGTACCCAGTATATACCGAGGGCATTCTCCTCTATAAGCTCAGATTCACGGTACAGTGGATGGCTGCAGCAGGTGTTTGTCCACACCAGAGGGAATGTTACCTTTGTTGCAGATCGTTGCTTCATCATATGAAGAACACAGAATCTCAGTCAACACACCTAACTAAAACCTAAGAGACTAAGACATGAAACCAGGCATGCAACACTGAGAAATTTCCACCGAATAATCATCCAGAAAATTATAGAGGAAAAGAAATAGATGAATTTAGATTAACTAACAATTTAAACAAGAGGGATATTAAACTTTAATAATTCAATGTACAAGTAATAATGAAGGTGTTATCAGAATATAAAAATTAATCACAACTAGTAACACAATGAATGTTAATGCTATGACCTTGTTACACAATTATTTGTTTGGTGAAGACTTGGAATTTTCTTTATTTGCTTTTTCTCTTATTGGCCTACTGAGAATAGACCACAAAATCACTTGTAAAAGGGCAGGATTGAAGTTGTTAACGGCAAAATGCTATTTCCCCTTCATATATGGAGCACTGGATCTTTATAACAGAAAAAACCTTGTGATTTGCATGCAGATATACAACTTTCTAATCATGAGTAAACACTGAAACAACAATATGAAATAAAGATCCCGATGATAACTACTAGATGTATAGAAGTTTGATCCACAAGGATAAAGATGTGATGCGATAAAAGAGGTGTTTTCAATTCTGCTTGACGCTTTGAAAATCAATAGGTTCACATTAAAACAAGATGCAAACTACATGCTTATGAGGCCAGCAAAATCAACATCAACATCAACAACACCTTTATCCCAAATTAATTGGGGTCGGTGGTAGATGAACTCAAATAAAAGATACAAAAAAGTTGAAAAAAGAAAAATAAAATAAAAATAAATAAATAGAATAGTAAATATATATATATAAGTAAAAAAAGAAAGGGAAAAGAAGAAGAGGGGGAAAGGAAGGGGAAAAGGACTAAAAAGGGACCATCTGGAACATATGAATAACAACGGGTCTAACCCTCCACCATGCTTATGAGGCCAGCAAAATATTTAAAAAATAATAATACATACCTGAAGAAGCAACTCATACTTTGAGTTGAACAGGAATACACTAAAAGCTCTATGCAGCAAATTTTCAGACTCAATCTTTTCCATCAAGTGACCTATAAAATTGAAGCTCAAAAAAATGAATTAACCAGGTCAGTATGCAGAGGGAAGAGCACAATAACAAGAACAGAAAAAAGAAAAATTGAGATCTAAATGAAACATTCCAAATCTCACAAGGCCAGTATTTTTGCTTCAGGAAGTCAAAATCCACAGGTGCACTGGTATTTTGCATTTTAATTCATGCTCACATTTGCTCAAAATCTACTACTACTATATGGTATATATAAAATTTTAATTTGCAACTCTTTCAGGCGCATCATAGTATTTAGCAGTTTATTCGCATTAAAATTAGTGACTAATACTAATACAGCAATACATTATAAATGATTAATTTAATTACATTTCTCATTGATGATTGTTCACACGAAATAATGGACAACTTTGTAAACAACCTCTAAATGTATGATGAGGATTGTATCCCATAAAAATTATACGCCGATATGGCAATTTTAAAAAGATTTAGGAGGGGATACGAGTAAGCTATAGTGTGTGTGTGTATATGCAAAAAATACTGGATAGTTGGTAAATCAATCATAAAATAACTGTTAAAATATAATTATTACAAAGCAATCTATACAGTATAAAAATTAAGATATTACCCTTTTTTTTTGTTTTGGTATGGGATATTACCCCTTGTAGTCACAGCAAGAGGTTTCTAAACATGGACATTACAATATTAAGAGATGAACCACAAAGTTGACATATTTAATCATTTTTTTTTTCTCAAATCATCGTATTAGTTAGAAAATTTAATGATAGTAAACCCCAGCTATATCATAACATCAACTTTTACAAACACAATAAATCAGAAAAGCATATATTCTTCAGAAAAGACGAACTATAAGGTGTCAAAGTACAAATATTTTGCGACAATTATTTTAATGCCAAACAATGTGAGCCCTTGCAATCACAAATTAAATAAGATTTCAAAATGGAAAGTCCACTTACAATTGTATTTGGATTCATGACCAACCACACGGTCATTCTCATCCACTAAAATGCATCTGCAGAAGTTCCAAAACCAAACAATTACCAATCCCAGGCAAGACGAAGAAATAAATGATGCATTAGCAGAAGTTATTATATGTTAAGGGTAATTGTAGAATTGGCAGAACTGCACAGAGAAAAGTTAGATAAGGGAGAGAGAGAGAGAGAGAGAGAGGAGAGAGAGAGAAAGATGGGAAGAAAGTAATTGCTTGCCTACTCCATACAGCCATTGACACTTCTATCACAAGGATTTCAAATACTAAAAAGGTAATTGGTCCTAATATAGTAATATGGACTAACTGGTACCAATATTTTAATAATAGAAGCATACAAATGATAAGTGATGATACTAATTGGGATTAATTGATACCAACCCATTTTTTTATTAATGGAATCTAGAGAATGCTAATTCATACCACGTGAAGACCATGGTGCATAACATCTTTTCCCCCATTAAGACATTATTTGTCCTCAAGTCGAGTAATATTCAATGCTTGCTCATCTCCCCAACTAGAGAGTAGAGACTCCATGACACAAAATCCTACCACTAAATCAACACCTTTGAGACTTGATAAGAACCTCGCATGATAACCCGTTGGTTTAGAATAGCGAGCGGCCGGTGAATAGGCAAGTGGTTCTAGTTCAACAAGCTCGGACAATAGCGAGTTGTCCTCCACAACACAAAGACCCTCCAAATATAAAAGGGTTGAGTAGCCTTTATATAGATACCCGCGGACAAACTTCTCATCATAGTTGACCTATAGTCTTTTGTCGTGTCACGCTTGAATCTCTTTGATTATCGGACGTTTGATACAAAGCCATATGACAAGGGATTGGGAGGTGTAACATCTTAGGCGCTGACGAGGGCGGAGAGTGATCGCCGATACGAAAGGGCACAGACAAGGAACGGCTCCTGGCAGGTTTCCAGCAGAGGGTACATGAATGAATTGAATCAACACCCGAAAAAGAGACATTCCAAAGACTGTACGGGTATGGGACTTTATAGTTGAAGATATTTTATAAGAATTAATAGGTACTACCTATACTAATAAGATGCATCTACTTTTCGGTAGCCCATAACGAAAAAATTTCATAGTTTTCCCAGGGAGTGTGAGTGAGGACAAAGCACGCTGAAAAGTCTCGTGTTAGTGTGTGGGGACAATCATTGATCCTGCAAGCGGCCGGGCATTACAAGTAGTAACAGAGCAGGGCCTCTGTCTCAGTACGGCGTGGTTCGAGGACGAACCAGGTGGAAGCTGATGGGCATGTAACATCCGAGCGTTGACGAGGGCGGGGAGTGATCTCTGGTGCGAAAGGGCATAGTGCAAAAGGGCACAGACAAGAAGTGGCTCCTGGAAGGCTTCCAACGGGGGTACATGAATGAATCGCATCAACACCTGAAAAAGAAGGATTCCAGAGACTGTGCAGATATGGGACTCAACAGTTGGGGATAGCTTATAAGAATTAATAGGTACTACCTATACTAACAAAATGCATATACTTTTCGGCAAAGTTATCAAGTGCGGATTGTGGCCTATTGCGGCCAACCCCCAAAAACGCTATAGCGGGTTGCGGTTGCGAAAATAGCGGAATAGACAGATGAAAAATAATGACAAAAAGAAACACTTTTGATAGCAGAAATGACAGAGAGAGAGACGCAGAGAGAGGCATATAGAATAAAAAACCCCTAAAATTTCTCTGTTACACATTTAAATTGAGGACAAAATTAACATTTTGCCTTATGGCCGCGATTTGGCCACAAATGCGACCATAATGGCCGCTATTGTATTCTGGTGCGGCGCGGTGCTTTTTCTTGGCGAGGCACCACAGCACGCATACGGTGCGGTTCACAGTGCTATTGCAGCTCAATTAACTATTATGTTTTTCGGTAGCCCATAACGAAAGAACTCCATAGTTAAGTGTGCTTGATTTGGAGCAATTCTGGGATGGATGATCTCCTGGGAAAACGAAATGTGTGAGTGAGGACAAAGCACGCTGAAAAGTCTTGTGTTAGTGTGTGGGGACATTCATTGATCCTGCAAACGGCCGGACGTTACAGGAGGCGGCACGAACCTTCCAAGCTCGTTGTTGCTAAGCACAGCGGCTAAAACGGCCAGGTTTTTAGGAGCTGCTCACGCCAATGCGAATGCATCATGCAAGTCCATATGCCAATGAGCATGCAAGTCCATATGCCGATGAGCTTGGACTACCAAGCACACTCGGAGTTTCAAGCTGCGTAAATGTTGTTGAGAGATACCAGGGTCCACAGACCTAGCTGACAAGGTTTACAAAAGTAGCTTGGTAATCGAGGACGAAATCGGTCTAAGAAAGCTTGGCAAAGAAGGTGGTATCCTCATACTTGGAGGGACCAAAGCAGCGACAAATGTCACATACAAATGTGTCCCAAGGTTATCAGCCTCTAGACATTGGTACCAAATAACCGCAAGTGCATTTAGATGCATGACGTTCAGCAATCATCGATCCTCTTGCTGTATTTTATGATATTAAAAATAATGCTACACATTGAAAAGTCATATGATCGGGTCACTTGAGGAAAAACACAGGAATGCGAAGCAGAGAGAAATCTGTGCGTTGGCACATTGTCCGGAGGTTTGGACTTGTGCAGAACGTTGCCAAGAATGCCCAATGCTAGATCTGTCAGCGATGGTGGTAGTGCTGGTAGCTCCTGTTGGAGGGTGGCAAAGAGGCATTGGTCATGCTTGTCCAATAATGTCATGAGATTTTCTATTGTTAATTGGTTGATTTGAAAGTTCAGGAAATCGCAACGTAATTGTTAGATGGCAGTGGCTGTTGTGCTGGCTAGCTGTTGCATTGATTGCAATTGAGCCTCATACTCTAGAGAACGGTAAGAGTCAATGAAAGCACAAGTTGTTAAGGGTAATGGTAGAGTGAGCAAGAATTTCACGGAGAAAAAACAGAGAAGAGAGAGAGAGAGAGAGAAAGGAGAGAATGACAGAAAGATTGGAGGAAAGTAATTGCTTAATTGCTTGCCTAATTCATAGGGCCATTTTGACTTTTATAACAGCAAATTGCAAAGATTTGAAATACTAAAAAGCTAATTGATAAGAAAGTCAGAATGCTAAACAAAACAAAAAAAGTTGTTGGTCTTAGGAACTCTTAGCAACAAGCAGCTTTGGGTTTGTAAATTGAACATTTTAATATTTTACGTTATGCTTGAGTTGAGTAATCAATAAGAAGGCGAGGTGAGGTGACGGAGTACTCGATGTAAGGGTACTGCTTTGAATAATGGAAACAGTCTTTAGGAAACAGTTACAAAATGCAAGGGTAATGCTGCTACAAGAGTACTCAATGCACAATAGTCAAATGATTAACTTTTTTTTCCCTAAAAAGGCTTGCACCTTCATTCACTGCGGCATACACTTTATAGCGCCTATGCTTTAAAAACCACTAGCGCCCTAAAAGCGGTTTTCTCCTTTGACTAGCTTGGTTAGCATGGAAAACAGAAACGGGAGGAAGACAGAGCAGAGACGAAGGAAAAAATTTAATCAACTCTTTCCCAGAACAGTCATAGTGAATGCGGAGAAAACATAAACGGAGTAACAAATTCCCTGTTTCAATCAAATAACACACCCTAACCATAGCAATTAAAGCTAAATCATAAATCAAACGAAAAACAAGCACCATGCATCAAAGTTCAAACTCCAATCCAACGCCAATAAATTAGGTGATCGGGAAGAGAACATTATCATTTTGCTCAACAAAGATACACAAAAATACAATCAATCAACACAGTGAAAGCACAAGAAAAGTGAGAGAAATTACAGAAACATATGCTAGGAATTGCGAAAATAAATAAATAAATAAAAATGAAATTAAGATGGAGGAACAGACTCGTCTTCGAACATGAGGCGGCGTTGAACGGCGTCCATGCCTGAATCGGCGGCAACAGGAGTTTCACCCATGGCGGTTTGAGAAGAGAAAGACAAAGACGCGGTGAGAGGGTTCTTGCGGCTTCTCTGAGAGAAAAGAAGGAACGAAAAAGAACGAGATCTAAAAGCAGAAGCGGAAGAAGAGGGAGTGGACACGACGCTAACGCCCCTTTTAAACACTTGCTGGCTCAGTGTCGCAGCGATCAAGGACTGTGCCATTCTCATATGCTCATGAATCTGCTACTTTACTTTATTTAGCAAAATAATTAATCATATTATTAAGTCTCCAAACGTCTTTCTTTACTTTTTTATTTTTAAAATAATAATAATAATAAGAGCCATTTTTTTTTGTTTATATATGTACATTATTGTGATTGTAAATTATTTGTTTCATTTCGTTGCCCCACTCCATAAGCAAACATTTGGTTGATTTTCCATCAGGCTTGCCAAATCCTATTTTGCACCTTTCAAGTCAAAATCGCTCGGGCTAACCTCATCCTCATAGCCAAATGGGAATGGCGGTGATTGAATTGGTGATGGCTAATGCCAACGGTATTAATGTTTTTTTTTTTTTACCATTTATCTCTTCTCCACATACTTATGACACTAATTCCTAGTGTTGAGGTAATAATCAGGTAAAAAAAAATTGGCAACTCTATAGTTTAAGTGAAGCACTGAATATATTTTCCAACGTCTTTCTTTAGTTTGTGTTTGGTACGTGTCATTTAGTAGGATTTTCGGAAAATCAAATTTTTCTAAATTTTTAATTTTTGAATATTATCGTAAACAGAATATAAAAAATATATTTTTGAAAATTGAGATTCTCCGATAAAAAAAAAATTTCTCCTCTACCAAACGCCTCCTAAGTGAAACACTGAATATAAATGAAAATTATATTCTAATGCTACATCAAATTATTCTATCATATTGTACTCATCTTAAGGGCTCGTTTGGTGGACAATATAGGATAAGGGTGTGATATGATATGATATGAGGCTGATAAGTCTATATCATGTCATGTGTTTGATGAGCACCTCATTAGCAATATGATAAAATTATGTAGAAAGAAAAACAAAAACAAAAAACAAAATATAATACAATAAATACAAATATATTGGGTAGCGTGGGATATATTGGGTACTGGGTATCCAATATTGATATTTTATCTTGTTGAATCCTAACTTAACTCTCCCCATAGGATAAAAAATCATGTATTTGATAAGATAAAATAAGACAATAATCATATCCTATTGACTCATCAAACAAGAGATAAAAATAGGATATGATAAGTTATCCTATCTTATTTTCTTTATCAGGTGCTCCAAACAGCCCCTAAATGATGTGCCATTTGTTCTTTTCTTTTCTTTTTAAATTAATGGATTTCACTTCATTTGTTTCGGTAGGAAATAGATTTCTCTCCTACTACTTAAAAAAAAAGTACTCCCTATTGTAAAACATTGGTTATAGAAATTGTACAAGGCTTTAATAGCTCTCTGTTGCTGCAGATCAGAAAATGTGCAGCAACACTTATTTCTACCAGGATCCGGTTCCGTATCTTGGAAATTTTTATTTTATTTTTAATTTCATGATCCAGCTCCGTATCTTAATATAAATATATTTGTCGTAAGTTTTTTCATCGCCAGTGATATCAGAAACGAGGAACCATTGTACAATTGATGGAATTATAGAGAACATTGGTAAGTGGCGAGAATCGTTACCTAAATTGGTGGAATCGTGTGGGTCGTGCAAGAGATTGCTATTCAGTCATCGGCAACGACTTCTGCAACAATGTCGAGCGAGTTGCAAAACAAGTCTCTACAACTGCATCCCATGGATCTTTAATCTACTATCCATAAAAAAGAAGAACTTTAGAGTTAGGATTAGTCGACTAATGAATAAATCGATGAACAAAAAAAATTTAAAAAAAATATTTTTATTTTTTTGACCCAAGAACCTAAATTTCGATCTTAGTACAGTGGAACATAAAAATGATAGTATTACTGCAAGAGCGCCTTCGATTTCAATAAAATGAATAATCACACAGAGTGATAGAACTTTTTTTGTTTTTTGTTGAATAGAGTGATATAACTTATTATAATTTGTACGTTGAGTTAACATAAAAGGAAAACAACCATAAGAAATTATTGGTTTTTCCTAATGTACCTTTTCAAACATCTTATTCATATAAATAAATAACTTAAAATTAATTATTAAAAATTTACTATGTAATTTTTAATATATCAATTTTATAAAATTTTCAGAATTTTTCCAAATAAAAATTATACAAATTGATTAAATAAATTAATTAAATTTTTTAAATATAAAGTTGGTTATATTAGTCATTAAATTATAAAATTACACTTGGACCCGGGCTTCTCCAGCTCCCCTCCTTGAGAAGGCTCTGTGTTGGATGCTCTTTTGCTTTTTAGCTTTCTGTTTTTCTGGTTTTTTCCTTCCTGCTTCTTGTTTGTATTTCTGACTTTTAGTGTTGCTTCTTTGGGGCTTTGCCCATCATGTTTATCAAAAAAAAAAAAAAATTATAAAATTACACTCAAGATGCCTAAACAAGCATTTAATCAAAAAATAATTTTTAAATATATATCTTGTTAGTTGAATTAATCTCTAAAATTCTTGACCAAACGATTTAAGGGTTCATCTAATCTCATGTTACATAATAAAAGAACTCTTATGTTGTAGACACACATGTAATGAGCCTTGTTATTTACAAAAACAAAAAAAAAATATCACGATTTTCGATGAATCTATAAAAAATAAAACTATTCTTATGTTTTACTTTGAATGACAAAACATAGAATTAAAAGTATTTAAACATAATTTTTATTAGAAAAGATGTGGAACGGAAATAATAACCGTTGATTGGTGGAAATCAACGGTTAAGATAAATAATATGATAGTCGTTGATTGGCGGAAATCAACGGTTAAGATGTGTTCGTAACATTATGCGTAACATTATTTGTGTGTCACAATATCATATCCCTTAGTTAATAACTAATATGACATATATTTAAAGGGTTTCAATTTTCTCGTACGGTAGGAGAAAATTTTCTCATGTTGTAGACACATTTTTTGTGGGACCCACATCTAATAAAAAATAAAAAAGTAAAAAAAATATTGTACGAAAATCGAAGAATCACTAGTAAGAAAAAATAACTCTCCTATAACATAAAAAAATGTTTTCCCATGTTTAAAAGAAGTAACTTGATTATTTAGTGGAAAAAATTCATATCCAAATGTACCTATCATGTCAGCCCGTGAAGTATCGCAGCTGCTGCGCGAGGAAAACGAGGATGCAATTTTCTAATGGTTGCTTTTATTTAATAAATAAGCCCAAATTTTAAATTGGAGCTCGTGGGAAATGAGGATTTGATGGATTTCTTAATTAGGTTAATGATTTTTATTTGTAGGAGATAATTTTATTTTTTTTTTATAACAGTAGGAGATAATTTTATCTCTTATATATATTGGTTACGATGATTTTATATCAGTATAAGTTACACTCTCAATTTTGTTCGTTGATGTCACTTATATCTAGAGGCGGACCCAGGGTAGAGGCAAATGTCCCCAAGTGCGGACATAAACATCGTGATTTTAGTTTTTCTTTTTCTTTTGTTGCAGATTCTTATTTGTCTCTTCGTTCAAATATTTATATTAGGAGTAAATATCATTTTAAGTCCTTAACAAAAAATATGGTCCCTTATAAAAAAAAATTAGTCTTGAGGTTCCTAAGAAATTCAAAGTGGATCAATTTAGTTAAAATCGTGATCCTCACAAATTCAAAAAAGACCCACATTAGTAGATCAAAAAGACTAAAATGTGTCCACTTTGAATTTCATAGGTTCCAGGTCACTAAATTTTTTTTGTAAGGGACTAAAGTGAGGACCGAATTTTTTGTTAGAGACCAAAAAGAGTATTTACTCTTATATTAGTTAGAAACGTAATAATTAAAATAATATAACAACGCAAATTGATTAGAGAGAAAACTTATTCTTTCTCTCATGTCACGTACCCATTCTCATGCTCTTTACATCCTTTGTTCCCTTTTTCATTTTTTCTAAAAAGAGAGGATTGATTGCAGGTCTGACATTCTCAAATAAGTTAATCTCTAGAGACTATTGCTTGCGGCTTGTTATGGAAACAACTAGATTATGAGCGAGTTCATAACCTTGTGCATAAAGCATTAATCTAAACTGTCTTTACAAAAAAATTCCGGGGACGCTGCCCCCGAACCCCCACCATTATATGTGCGAACATAACAAATTTTTCCTAAGTACGCTGGTTATATCTAAGGGCTCTAAGTTTTTAGTAATGTGAGTCATTGGATATAAGTGGATCAATGGTCAAGATTTAGTGTAAGACTTTTAACTCTTATACCGATATAAGAATACCCTGCCCCTATATATATATAGGAAAAATTGTTTATCCTTTTAAATGACACAACTTATATTCTTCCACTCTCACAAAGAGGTGGGACCCACACTTTTATTTTTTTATCAACTCTTTCTCCTCTTTTATCTATCTCTTTCTCTCTCTTAAAATGACACAACTTTACATCCTTTAAAATGACACACATTTTTCCCATATATATATATGAAGAAGGATCAGTTTACAAACTTTTTTGACAAATTTTTACAAATTACACTATCTTCTCCCGTGAGAACATAGTGAAACCTAGTGTTCTCTCGGGAGAAGATATTGTAGTTTGTAAACAAAAAAAATTGTAAATATAACATGCCCCTATATATATATATATATATATATATATATATATATATATAAGTGTAGGGGTCTATATTTATTTCTTCTCTTCTCTTTATATGGATCCCACACATTTTAATTTATATATAAGAGATACTTTTATCTGCTTGAGAAACTTTTTTAATTCTTAGAGGACGTATGGTACAGGAGAAAAAAAATTTAACCAGAAAAAAAAATTGTTCAGAATATGATAGGAAATTTTTTTTGTCGGGTAAGTTAAAAAAAATATTTGATAGGCCAAAAAATTTTCAAAAAAATTAGATAATTTTTATTGATGTTATGTTTGGATAATTGTAAAATATTGATAGCAAAATTGACATAATTACCGAGTTATCCCATAGTTTGAAAATTGAAGTTCACCGCTGAATAAAAAGTTATTTCACCTTAGCTTTGTCCCTCTCCCTTTTTTTTTTTCGTTTGTTTGTCTGCTATCATTTTGCTTAACCTCTGTTATTTGATCTGGTACTGGGGCCGGAGGAGATCGTAAATTATATCATAATTATTAACGCAGTATTGTTAAACATTAACGC